TCTGCTGTACTTCCCCCCTCTGCTGTATTCCCCCCTCTGCTGTATTACCCCCCTCTGCTGTATTACCCCCTCTGCTGTATTCCCCCCTCTGCTGTATTACCCCCCTCTGCTGTATTACCCCCCTCTGCTGTATTCCCCCCTCTGCTGTATTCCCCCCTCTGCTGTATTACCCCCCTCTGCTGTAGATTCTCTTACACAGTTAACATGTGAATTCTACAGTCTCAGGCGCATTTCTTTAGGCCACAAAATGGGTTATTCCATTTCAATTGTGTATTTAAACAAAAGATGAGCACTTGTTTATCCTGTTTTGATCCGTTTTCTCAAACATCTTAGAACCTTTTTTCCAAAGGCAATCCCTCCATGGCCTAGAATGTCCCTGAGAACATCAGCCAAATCTATTCAGTTCTATTATTACAGTAAGTTAACCATACTGAGCACTACATTCTAATATGTTGTGAACTACTGCATTGTGTAGTCTAGATTCATGTACTGCGCTGTTGCCAAGTGTGATGTACTAAATAATCTAAAGAGAGAGAATTTCTGAAGAGAATTCCTAGTCACACAATCTTCACTCACCTCGGATCCAAGAATAGGTCTTGGGGCACTGTGAATATGGACTGACCTGAAGTACAAAATGGTTCTGAATTCATACAATTTCTATGTTTCTGAATCCAATTTCCCCGTTGCCTTTCTTTTCAATTTTTAAAGCAGTTTCTTATTTATACACCAAATGGTGTAGAGTACTGTGGACTAAAACAATACATAACATATTAATGTAAAGGAACACAACTGCTTGACTGTGCGTGCGTGCGTGCGTGCGTGCGTGCGTGCGTGTATATTAACATGAGTGTCCAACCACTTACTTGAGTTTTGATGTCTGTGTAGAGTAGCCTGACTTCCCCTGTACCTGGTGCCTGGAACAGTGCACAACAATATATCACTAGTTAGGGGTTTTTTTCCAAAGCACATTTGTAAACTCACACTGGACTTAAGATTAAAAGAAAAGGAAAAAAGGGGAAAATCATTAAAATTTAAAAAATAATAATACTGCTTACCTATAGGGGTAGAGCCTTTGGTGTAGCATCAGATTGGAAGTGGTACTAAACTCCATGAACTGACTGAAATAATAAAACAACACCTACTAATACACAGAGAGGAATGTTTACCATTCCAGATAGTTGAATTAGAAGGTGATACTATGTAACTGGTGATATAAATGTCAATATTATGACAACCACATCTGACATTAAGAAAGGAAGATACCAAGAGACCTGAATCTTATCAACAGCCAGCTTCATATTCAACACAGCAGGTGTCTCTATAAGTTTACCTGTAAAGATCCCATGAGTTTGTCTCTATAAGTTTACCTGTAAAGATCCCATGAGTCCGCAGTCGGGAATATTCTGACCCAACCTCCGCGCCTGCTGTATTCTTCTTTCACTCTGCGCAGTGTTCGCCCATCCTCAGCTGACAACCCAGAGCCTCCCTTTGACTCCTTGCCGCCAGCAGAGCCTGCTGACTGGGGACGCGTACGCTGGAAGTAAGACAATTTACGTAAAATACTCTCTTCTTTATCTCACACAGCATGGTACGCTGCTTCAGGATTTGTCCTTAAAAAACACCATTATTACAAGGTCCAGCTTGTTATTCATAATTAATGCTGTGTTGTTGAAGGAAAATCTTTTCAAGTTATTAAATCAAAATGGCTGCATTTGGTGAAACTTTCTGAACCTGTGTATAAAAGATTTGTAGAAAACATTTGTCATATTTTGTAAATTTTTACTACTGCACTTCCTACATGCAGTTAGATTTTTAAATTTCTTCTGACATTACTTAGTCACATTTATAAGAAAGACACTTTGACCCAATGAATTAATATCAATTCAGAAATATTAAACCATGCAACAGCAGGTAAAAATAGCACAATGATACTATCCCTCACTTATCAAAATACAAAATTTTAGTGCAATGTGAAAGTTATTACAGCTGATTAAAATGGACTTAGTAAGAGGAACATTCAAAATTCATCAAAGTACAATAAATTAATTGAAATTCAAACAGCTATCTCATGGCAAAAAACTAAAATTTAGCAAACAGACTTCTACATTTAAATAACAAGTATCTTTTGAGAAATTGGCAAACTTAGATAAACACAATCGATAAAATGTTTTTTAATAGCATTTTTTGACAAACTGTTCAATAAAGAAGAATATCCAAAGGAGCAAAAACATTATAAGTCCAAAAGTTCAGAAAGTGCAATAATGGCCAATTCTTTGTGTAGTCATAAATATAAACCAATACCAGATATAACAGAGTTAATGAGAGGATAACATCTACAAAACTATGTGAGTATCATCCACTACTGCTCTTAACCTGAGCTTTATATACAGAGTTTTGTACAATACGACAAGATAACAATTCTGGGCCTACAAACCTGAAATACAGCTTAATTTGGCAAACTGAAGGGGGGCTCTTAAGCACATATCAAAAAGCTCAGATTAGGAAACAAGTGAACTGATACCTCTCCACTTTCTATCTACATTCAAGGTAGGTGCAGTGAAGTTAAAATGGTGCAGTTGTTTACAAACCTGCGATGTTGAGGAACCAGATCTCTGTCGCTATAAAACACAGCACACACCATCAGTTATGTTAGGGTGGAGAAGGTTTTATTACAGAGGGAGAGAACTGGGACAGTTTGAAAGTACAACACTACACATTGAAATACTATATATTTGTCCTTTTCTCTATCCTAGAACAATCACAATTTAAATACCCCTTTAAATGATGATGATGATGATGATGATGATGATGATGATGATGACTATGATGCTAACACAGTACAAGAAATGGACAGTGAGATAAAATGTGAAAAAGTTTTTTTAGTTTAAGAGCAAAATTTTTCAAAGGTGAATGAAAAAGATGAAAGATTATGTTAAAAAGATTACGATGCTTTTAAGAAATGGCTTTCAGACCCGTGTTACACTTTTGGTGGGATTGTGCCATGTAAATCACAATATATGTGAATTTATCCACATTTTTTCCTAATATTTGTTCAAAACATATTAAAAAGTATCATATCTCTTAACCTGGGATTCATGGAGATTTTTCTGGGGATAAAATCAAAGCCGAAAGTTAAGTTGCAAAAACAAAAGGCAAACAAACAGGGTAAAGGGATACATTCTGGTGGTTAGTTGTGATGAAACTTGTTATTGGACAAGAAAATAAAAGCAGTGAGTTTTTAACAAAGGAATTTAAGAATAATAAAATAATAATATCTGTGTACCATGACACAAGATGTAACAAAATAATTTCATTTAGTAGGTTGGGACTGAACATTTGAAAACAGTGAGGAGTTATTGAGGTGGTGACCTTGACCTTACCACAGTTGACCTCGTGGGAGGTCGCGCTGACTGAAAGTAACAGGAGAACACACATCATTCAAATTCATTATTTTTTAGTTATTTTTTTATAATATGAATACAAAAGGCTGGTGAATACTTCTGTTGTACTCACATTTTCTATTTAACAAACAATAAGAATACATTTTGAATATTTTTTCAATTTTAAAATGTTTTACCTAGTTTATATCAAGAGCTCAGAACGTTAATTGGCATTATCCATTTCATGTCAAATAGTACCATATTATTTTCTTTTTATCATCATGTGCTCTAAAACATTTTACGCCAATTTTATTCCTCTAGGTGTGATCAAGTTGTAAGTTGTGTTAAGACTGGGCAACCTATTTTTCAACGTAAATCGAAAGGCATGCAGTGTGCATTATAACGAGCTAAAACATCTAGATCAAACTGCCATAAAATATCATCAGCCATTGTTAATCTGAAAACAAAATAACCCCAAACACACGTGTGCTCACTCCATCACACATGGTATTGTATCCCACACAAGATACGTTGTATCCCACACAAGCTACGTTGTATCCCACACAAGATACATTGTATCCCACACAAGATACATTGTATCCCACACAAGATACGTTGTATCCCACACAAGATACGTTGTATCCCACACAAGATACGTTGTATCCCACATGAGATACGTTGTATCCCACACAAGATACGTTGTATCCCACACAAGATATACCACAGAATCTTTGCTGTCACTGTCTGACGTGTCTCCCCCTCGACGTCTTCTTAACATAGTGCTCTGAGCAGACACATGGAAAACTTGGATTAATTTATTTTTACAAATTAAAGGCTGATGAAAAAAATTGTTACCATTACTTTTGGAAATAAATTTTAGAAAACGTTGATCATGCTACACAAAAGAAAATAAGTTGCAACTTTGAATAGAATTTGTCTCAAGCTGGATTATATATGCTTCCCCATGCAGTGCATTGCAGTTCATGTTATGACTGTGGAGTGTTGAAAACAAAACTATACGGACATTTAGAATAACTGAGTGCAGGATAACACAGGGTTTACCTTGAGATCCACTTTGAGAGTAATAAACCTCTTCTGACAGCCAAATGACAAGGTGGGAACATGTCACATTCTTATGTCCTGGGGGGATGCTTTCCAACAATGTAATTGTCTAATTTCTATACGACACTTTTTTTCTGAATCCATCTACAGTTGTAATACTAAGGGAATTCTAGAATAATTTCTCTTCTATAGAAAATTACAGGACAAGAGCCTTACCTGAGCTCTAGCAGGGTTTTTATTCTGAACATCTTGATTTCTGTTACTCTGTGCTGGCTTCCTCACCATAGGATCATGACACACAAAGCCTGAATATAACAAATACCAGATATCTACTGTGTCATACGAGTTTGGCTAACCTGGGCATGTGGACATTATCTAACACAATTTTTACAGTATTTGTTTACTAAATCTGTTTTAAATTCACATTAAAGTCAAGTTAACCTCAATGTAATGACATTCAGAAGCAAATTTAGACAGTAAGACTGGCCCCTAATTGCAACATGGGAAATCTTGTAAAGCTTACCTGTTAGACTGAAAAGATCCGACAGCATGTGACCCTTGATTTTCAAGTCCAGTGGAGAATCACTAAAATATCAAAACAGAAGTATTCTTTTGATTTGCATATCAGTTTCATAAATCCAATGCCAAAGGGTTAAAAAATTCTAATTTCAATAGTTAGAAGTATTTCACAATCTGCAAGAAATAACCAGGGAAGGCAGAAATAAATAAAATCACGGAATCACGTTCCATACACCAGAGCCTCTCCACACACTTACCATGCCAGGGAGGGGGAAAGGTTAACCTCTAAGATCCAGGGGCGGAGGTTAGAATCTATCAGAATATCAAACCCATATAATTCTGAAAATATTACAAAATGACATTTATAAATATATCAAAATGTGCCTTTCTTAGTCCACTCTTTCACAACAAGAACTTAAGTACTATTTCTTAACTTCTCAGGAGACCTTTTACAAAACTTTAAATACCACCAGTTTTCACTCACCAAAACAATTTCCCTTGAATGGCACAAACATTTTACAAGCAGTAGCAATGGGCATCTCAGCCGAGAGGATGGTTTTGATCACAACATCTTCTATTCTCATCATCAGAGCTGGAAAACAAAAGCCTTCAATTATTGTTCTAATCTCAGTAGAATTAAGGCCAATACATTTACCCTGAGCTTTGTCTATAAAACATCGGACACACTTTGAAATTGAAACATGAAGAAGTTGACCCACATTAGATATTTCACTCATGCTTAGCTAATACTACCATACACCCAATAGTGTTCACTGAAGTAGAAGCCATATGAACATCATGGAAAATGAACCATACCAAGTCTTATAAGTAAGGAAATGTTTTAACATGACATCTGGTTTATACAAAGCACAAATTTCTTAAATAAAAACTGTTTTTCTTGTATTACCTGTGGTGTCGTACCCCTCTGAACTCAGATACTTCAATATAACACCCATGGACCAATTATTATTATTATTATTATTATTATTATTATTATTATTATTATTATTACCTGTGGTGTCGTACCCCTCTGAACTCAGATACCTCAACATAGCCCCCATGGACCAATTATTATTATTATTATTATTATTATTATTATTATTATTATTATTATTATTATTATTATTATTATTATTACCTGTAGTGTCATACCCCTCTGAGCTCAGATACCTCAACATAGCACCCATGGACCACTTATTGCCATAATCTTCAACATCAGGGTCATCATTCCTGGAAAAAAAAAGAATCAACTCAACGATATAAACACTTCTTAATTTGGTTAATATGCCTGGTCAGCTAGTTAAACATAACACATAGTATTAAGATTCATTCATAGCTAGTGTCAGCAGATACCAGGAAACAAACACACACACACACACACACACACACACACACACACACACACACACACACACACACACACACACACACACACACACACACACACACACACACACACAAAAAGAAAGTCATCCAGTAGAGCCTAAAGTCTCATGACTTAGTGTAAAATCAAGAAAGCTTTCACAGGATTGGAAGATATGGGTAGACTGACAAGTGCAGTGTGGTGGTATGTTTGGTCACTTCCCCTTTGACGTACCTTACAAGTATGATCTACCTACCCTACATAGTCTTTGCTCTTCTTGTTGACACTGTAGTTTGTAAGATGCATATAATGATTCCTGAGACTTTTGGCATTTTTGTCATATCTCACAGTGGCAAACCTACAATGACAGTTATCAGTTCAATCATTATCAGGAACATGAGAAGTTTTATTCTTTGACAGAATCATAAATAAAGGGGAAAGTGTGCTGACAGTGGATTAGAAAAAAATACATCAGGTAAGCAAAATTTTTTACAATGAAGATCATTTTTCAGACTCTGACATTGTCACCATCCATACTAAAATATCTGTGACAGTCACTTTATGGCCAATACCAGTACAAATATGTACAATTATCAGAGTTTTCAAACCTTAAGCAGTAAATAATCATTACAAACATGTAATTCATCCAAACATTTTATTGTCTTAAAGAGAAATGGTTATTAGTCACCAATAAAAACTTACTTTCTGATTTGAACCCAACACACATTTCAAAATTCTGGAATCATCTTTTATGTGTATTTATAATGAACATCAGAAAATATAATAAAACAATTTTGGTGTAATCAAATGAGTAAAAACTGCAAGGTATACACATACCTTGTAAGACCTTCTTCAAACAGGTAAATCAACAGAGGGTCGTAGGATGTCACCCCCACATATAACCTGACATCAAACTTAAACCCTAAAAGATAAAATTCAACAATAAATCATGTCATTTTTTTATACCACAGCATATAACTTTTTAAAAGTCAGGAATGATAAAAAGTAAGAAAATAGGCTACTCCTCCTCTTGTTAACTTTCTTCAAGAACAAACTGCACCTACTTGACTATAGGGCCTACAGAAGAGAACGTATTGAAGAATTTATTGCAGTGATGAAAAAAGATTTAAGTTCTTAAAAACTGCATCACTGTTGACTTTACATTTTAACCAGTACCATCATCAATAAAATACATATCAATAACTAGTTTCTATATTTTCTATGAATATTGAAAACCGGCTATCAACAGCTGTCTAGCATAGCACAGCAAGTGTTACAATTTAAAACCTCAGTAAGCACTGTGGAAGCACAGAATCTGCTTCTGGCTTATGAAACAAATCTAAGCGCCAACTTTTTATGGGCCTTGGGCAGAAAACTTACCATCTATCAGCAAAGGGTTTGGGATATACTTGCACACAATCACAGTTTCATCAAGCGGGACCTGTTCCGGCTAAAATACAGATGAAATCAATTTCATATTAGCCTTAATTCTCCATCTCTACTATTAACATACAACAACACTGTCATGTAATAGTTTAAGCTTACATCATGTTGTCAACAAAGCACATTACACTCAATACAAGTTCTCAAACAATACACTTACATGATTGATGAGGAAAATGCCTCTGCCTCGAGATGAGGCAACTGGTTTCACAATCCATGGTCCCTTGTCTTTTAAATAGTAAGCTGGAAAGAGGGAGATAATTCCATTTAAATTTAATAATAATAATAATAATAAGATTCTTATATGGCGCCTTACATTTGGATGACTTAAAAACATTCAACATCTGCAAAGACATGTCATCACAGACATATTAGTTCATATATTTTGACATTTTTCATGAAAAGCAATGGCTTGCATTATCATTTCAATCTTGGCTCAGACTTTTTCATTTCTATTTTTTCAATTATCTTCACATATAAACTGCATGTATACGTAAAAATTAAACAGCCTGCCTACTGCACAGTCCTGAAACTCCTCTGGTGTAATAAAGCTAAGTGACATAAAGTCAAAATACTTACTACAGAAGTCCTGAAACTCCCCCGGTGTAATAAAGCTAGGAGGGACAAAGTCAAAATGTTTCGGTCCCTTGGTGTGCTGCATACGCTGGATATTTTTGAAAAGTCGATCCTTTCTTGTTATTTCATAAGACCTTAAGCAACAGAGAGAAGCATTTCGTCAAAGTATGAACATTTTGAAAGACAATATGAAAGACAACATTCGAGGTGTTAAAAATGCTTTCTTCTAGCAGCTAAAACAAATATATGATTATCATAAAATGTACCAATAAGAATAAGCTCTTATATAGCTCATATCAGTTTTAAAGGTCAATTATAATTGCGTAAAAGAAAATGGCAGTCGTACCTGGGGAAATGATTAACTTTCTGGAACTCAGTCAGGGTCCTGAGAGTGTAAGGCTTCAGATGAGAACCTGTCCACATCAGATTGAAATCATTGCTGTTTGGGTGTGCCTGAAATAGGACAAAAGACTGTTAAAGAAACAAATAATGAGTAATTCAGGGAGTGAAATAAAATATGGCTGCCACCTGAGATTTTCAGGGAAATTGATTTTCAAATTTACTGTCATTATTCTGCAATCTGAGAAGGTATAATTGCAGATTAAGAATTTTCATTATTTAGTCATTATATTGCAGGGAGGTAAATTTCTCTGCAACAACCTCATATTCATACTTTTTTTTCAATAATGGGCTGACCCAAAAATAAGTTTTGTTTCAGTCAAGAAGTTGAAAAAACATTAACCTAACTGAAATTTAAAATCAAAACACTGATAAATTTGCCAAATTTTTCTGAACAATTTCAGCTTCTTCAGCCAAACTAAAACTTCAGTATTTGACGAAACTTTTGTGTGAGCCTAGGATAATTACTTTTCAGGTTTCCCCAACACATAAAAATCAATAAAGGAATGACTGAAAACTGCCCTCTCTAAGTTTGTAGTATTCATGCTGAATTTCTCCATCTTTATATCTTTGCAATTTTGTATATGGAAAAAATTCACTAACAGTAAACAGTAAATAGTTTTTCATTTCTGGATATTGTCATGTACATTTTTCATAACAACATGCCTCTGTTATTTTACTTGTACTGAGTTCTATAACTTACCTCATGAAAACCATGCGCAGAGAGAATTGATCTCAATAATTTACACTCTGTCCTTATTAACTTGTAGGCCAAGTGGTACTTTTCTGAAATGTTTTATATCATAATATTATAATTAAATATATTGAGAAGTGGAGGCAATGACAATGAAAACAAACAAATTATAATCATAGACATGAACAAGATGAAGAATTGGTTTGTCATAGTCTTAAACACTGCCACTTTCTTTTATAGTTGCTATATGAGAAGATAGGAAGAAATTATTTGCTCGGTTCAATAATTGGTTGGTGTTGGTGGCGAGAGCGGGAGTCACCCTGTGATGCTCGAGCAATAACACCTTGATAACCGAGCGGCGCGATAAATTGTTAAAATACTGAGATGGATACTTGAGCGAGGTTGACAAAAATCATTAAGAAGTAGAAAACTGTTATAGACCTTGCCAGTGGTATTTATCACTACAAAGATGCCATTTTGTATCGACCTTTAGAATTCAGAAAAATAGAAAGGTATGCCGATTCAAAGTTTCATGCTGAACTTCATTCATTTTTATTTATAAAAATTCATATTTTGGGAAATTATAATGAAAAGAGAAATATTTCTACTCAAGATTCTAAAATATTTGTTAAAAACTTTGAACTTTATTTAACATCTAACTATAGCAAGTACATTGGCTTATTTTCAGGAAGTATAAAATTCATTTTGCAAAATATTGAAATGATAACTACCATTTGAATCCTCTAAAGGAAATGTATTATAGACATTAAGGTACAAAGCTCTAGGGTTTAGTATAGAGAATGGGTTCAGGACCACATGATGTCTCCCAGGACATGGATAAACTGTATTAATGCCATTTATCTTCCTTCTAACCAGCTGTTCTTCTTAACATTGATCAAGATCAATAGCAGTCAATAGCCTACCACTGAGGCTTACACATATTCCATTCAATGTCAATACCCTCCACTCTGAGACAATATTTACTTAGTATGGAATTCCAATACAATGGCCTAGTATAGAATTACAGTAACAGAGGTTCTTATATACAAGTCACAAATAAAGTTATTGTTAAATCTCTTAGCCTTAAACATTCTAAAACTAGAAGCTCATTAAATATTTTATGCACATCTGCATAAGAGAACTGAGGTCTTCTATATTAATGTTTGTTTAAAATTATATTCTATTGGTTTTAAAAACAGAATGGAAATAAAAACTATGTCCATATAAATTTGCGATATCTACTCTGAATACATATTTATCCCACAGATCCAAATTTAAACTTGGAAAAATTCATTTACATGTTGTATTTCCATGGGTGAAAGTTGTAAAAATGAAAACTCTGAAAACACAGCTTGCAATTTGCTCATTTATACAATATGGAAAAAAAGATCAAAATGGAGTCTAAAAATCCTAAAATCAGGCATGATCCTGAAAACTTTCACCCATTTATTTGTGTCTCAGACTTTATTTTAAACGAGTTTGGTCTTAAAGATTAAAAATATGAATCTCATCCAAACAGTTGTTATTCATTTAAAGGTGCAGACAATCAAACAAATAATTTATCACCCACCTCCTATTACTTTATACTGAGGTTCCTTCTTTTCTAGAGCTTGGGGCTTAAATATTAGAACAGGGGTCCTTTTCCCACTGCCTGTCCATACAACATTTGTATGTTCTTGACTGAAATCAGAATTTTATTACAGTATTTATAAATATCATTTAAAAAACAATACTCCACACACACACACACACACACACACACACACACACACACACACACACACACACACACACACACACACACACACACACACATCTATTTCTACTTCTTGTGCTCATTGAACTGTTTCTACCTTGTGGTGGCACCCATTGTTAACTTTCCAAACCTCTAAACTAGGCAATTGCTTAACTTTAAATGGCTCACATTAGAATTTGTTTCTCTGAATGGTAGCTAGGTAACCAATAGTTATTGATACAGGGAAATAAGGTTATACATTCTGGCACTCTTGGAGGTATAATTTTATGTTCCTGTATCAAATGATATTAAAAAAATCCAAGTTCAAAAATACAAAGCCCATGAATTTGATTAGCATATTTCAACTAGAAATATTGAACTTACTTAAGCACTATTAAACATAAAAGCTTACTGTGATATCATTAGATGCTACTAGGTTTTTTTTTGTTAGCTTTTCACACAGTTGAAATAATATACCAACACCAATTTAAGTTAAAACTCAACACTTCATGCTTTTACCTCTTAGGCCTCCAAGCCTTCTTTTTAACTGGTTTTTCTGACCTAAAACAGCGTTTATGAATTGAAGAGGAAAGGTGTGAGGTAAAAATCAGATAAAAATAGAAAGTAGAAACTGATAAGTTTTAGAGAAAAGACGAGATAACACATAGCCATTCATAGCAAAAACACATTGGAATCATATAACATGTATTTCAGCAGTGAAATTAAACAGTAAATGGAAGCAAAGGTGAAACTGACACAAAATAAGTATAATCATACTTTAAAATATCAAAGCCAATCAAGACAAAGGGAAAACATTTGCTTAAGATACAATGAAGATGGAAATATCAAAATCAGACATTAAATTGAAATCAAGATTCTCACAAACACAACAGGAAAACCATGTAAAGATGTGCAGAATAGAGAAGGAACTTCACAACCAATTTACAGGAAGACTTTCCATGACAGCAACAAAAATAACCCTTGAGATCCCAGCCAGGCAGGCATGAGATACACAGAACACTGACTGATGTTATACTCACTCTGTGTCTAATTCTTCTTCCTCTGTCTCTTCATCTTCTTGCTCTTCTTCCTCCTCCTCTTCTTCATCTTCGTCATCTTCCTGATCATCTGGGTTATCACTCTTCTCAGACACGGAGGCGGTGTCAACTGCTGTCTTTGCCCGCGATGTCATCCTGAATCTTCTGTGGTGCTTCTACTATTTTATGTCTATTTAGGTGCAAATAGAGAATTAAAACCTCTGATAATGTGGTCACACCACCACACCATATCTCCTTCAGGGACCACCTAAAATACCAATAAAAATATAATTATAAAAGTATTTTTAACCAAAACCTATAGATAATACAGATTTGGGTAGGGATGGAAGGGGGGGGGGGGAGAGGACTGTATGTTAATGATGCAACTGATATCATGCTTTGCTTAAAAATGATGTTTTCGCTTGTTACCAATAAAACTAGTGCATGAGGTAGGTACGTGTAGCTTAAAACTAATATTTTCATATATATCGCCAGTAAAACTGAAGAGGGTAGGTCTTAGCATGACAGGTGAGGGAAAATGTAGTCTTAATTACTGTTATTCAGTGCATTCAAATCATGTGTTAAGATTAGAGTAAATAGTATGCATGGGCAATAAATAAGTCACGGGCTCAAAATTATTTCTATCTAATTTTCAATGTTCTTGCGACCGTCTCAACACAAGAGCAAGACCCTGGCACTGGAGGTCTAGATGAATTATTCAGTCACATTATTTGCCAACGTAATAAGAGTAAAAACTTGATTCTTGTCAATTCTTTATTACCTTAACAACTGTATTCGTCCAGAAACAGAGAGAAATAATCCAAGTTCGTCATTGATTCAAATTTTTTAATATCGAGATGGGGTGGGTGTAATCAAAATTCTGTATTAAATCGGAGAACCATCGTTCAACGGTTATCTTGGGTAGTAGGATCTCTAATCAATTATCTTATCATTAGCAAGCGGTAACTAAGGAGAATTCAATTAACTTAAGTGGCAATTAACGGACAATTTACCTGAAGCACCTGTCCCGCTTTTCGAGTTTGTTGTGGAGAATTCCGAGCATGCGCGTTAAGCAATTACACAACTGTAGAGGGCTTCATCAAGATAATACCAACTCTAAGGGAAAACGTAAAATTGTTGATGAAAAATATCGCATTAAACATAGATTTAACAACATTGTCATGTGTATGCTCTCTATTTCATATTCACAAACATGACATTTTACCACTTGCCAGTGTTCTAGAAAGAAAGAAAATGACAACTATGTGCTTTATTTTGTATGCCCAACCTAAGATCTAATAAACAGATATATGGTATATTAGATCTTAGGCCCAACTAACACAATGCAAAGCACCTTCCAACCCTTCCATGTATTAGACAAGAATACGGTGAAAAATAAATTTTTCGTAAATGACTTAAATGCGTTTGTTAAATAAAATAAATGAAAAAAAAAAAAGAATTATTGGCAGTTTATTAAATAAAATAAATGAAAAAAAAGCATTATTGGCAGTTTTAGTAGAACATATAAAATAACATTGGGGACGTACTTTTGCTCCATAACAAAAATTAAATTCCAAGATAACAGCAAACATCACCCTTTTTGGCAAAAAGAACTCAATGAAAAAATAATAATTGGACTACTAGTTCTTTCTTTGGCGTTGAAAAAACTGTTTTCAACTTGTAATTTATTTAACTTGAGTAAGTTCAAAGTCGCTTTATTTAAGCAACCCAAGCTAGTCTTCTACTTTTCATTAGATATATTTAACTATCTGCTATTGCACATACAATGCTCACATAATACTTTCACCTCTTGTCATACAGATATTGCAACTTACAATAGTGAAAATTGAATATTATTACATAAATGTAGTTATTTTATTACTATTTTCACCACTGGAAGCCCATAAAATTCATTTTTTCATCCATTTGACTTTTTAAAATCCTAAAGTTTGTTATAGGCTCCCTTAAATTTAAAGTGATTAAGTAGGTCAATGTATTTTTAAGACCACAAACAGTAAGTATTTTATAACCTTATACCATCATGACAACAGCATCATATTCAGTTTATCTATAAGAACCAAATGCCTGCCACCTTTAATCCTTACTCTTCTTAACTTCCCACAGAGGCAAATGTAAAAGTTTCAGTCATTCACTAATAAGTGTCATCACTGTTGGACTTTGAGCCACCTTAATGCTTAAAACTTTTCCACCAACATTTTCTCAGAGGTATAGTGACATACAACACAGGTAATTGGAAAACTGCAGTAAAACCAAAGGGAGGAAAAATTTCTAAGATGAACAGTGTTGATAATCTAGTTATTTTACCTATATAACATATTCCAAATCAGTGCTATGTTTATTTTTTTACATAACTTTTACCTTATTTTTCTTTATAATCAATGATTTAGAGCACTAAGAGCAGTATTTCATTTCTTAATCTGGAAATAATCAACAATTATTGCAAACTGCATCAGTTTTCAACCACTGCCAACATATGTGTAAAGGGGACACGGGATGCCTCAAACACAAACATACATATAAAAATAGCTTGAGCAAAACATACAAATGCTCATTTCTAAAGTAGCTTTACTCAATACAATCAGTTGTAAAATACTCTAGAAATGCATAATATAATATACTAATGAAGAAGAAAATATATAGTTACAACATGCAGAAAAGTGGATACACATATATTTCAACAGCTGTAATTCAACATGAATACAAAGTGTTGAAGGTAAAGAAACTGAGTGCTACATCACAACCATTAAAATGGAAAATATGACATCATTACAGAATAGTTACATCTATTTAACTTACATGATAAGGTATCCAATTATTATATAATATATAATCTAAAAGTAGCAACACCATACATCATTAACTTCATTATGATATGATAATCAAATACTGACTGTACGTATCGACATAACATCTTAAATGACAATTATTTTACATCGCATAGATGTTAATTACATAATTGTACATCAATCTGAACTGAAGAATCACAGAAATACATACCATAATACAACTAAACTGACTAACATTTTTGGAAGGCAGCTGTTCTTTAAAAAATTGGTACTATTTTGAAATGAAGCAAACCGAATAGTTACCATGTCAAAAATTAAAGAGATGGTATAATCACTATCTCATATTAAAATGAATATTTTTGGCTAACTTTGAAAATTAAAGCATCTACAAATGTTGAAAACAGTAAATATGTAGATTTCTACCAACTGTTGTCTTGTATATAAAACCTGCCTGTAAAATGCACTGAACATTTTCTGTTAGTAAGTTAAAGTTAAAATTCTGTATTTCAGGTTGAAGTCATGTGGATAACAATCAACAAAGAAAAATAGAAAAGAGGATGCTATGACCACAAAGTAAATACTCAAATCATTTCTTTTATAAAAGAAGTAACAATCGAAATAACTTAATGTATAGGACAATATATGTCTAAAAAAACTAATGTCAACCATAAAAATCACGTGTTCTTATCAGCCTCAGGGTAAGTTGGGAACTTGGCTATTTCAATCTTTTCTTTAACTTTATATGATGGATATAGACCTGTCTTGGAAACTCTTTTATTTTCTCCTTTTGAATATCCATCCCAGTGGTTTCCAGCAATTCCAACTAAATCCCCAGGTTCAAGAGGAATTTCTCCTGGCCGCGGACTATGTGCATAGATTGCTATCTGATTATGTCCGTGCTGTCCGCCATAGTAATAGACATCGTCAAGTGAACGGAAGTAGGTTGAAGCGTCTGTGTGCATCGTCTGCATTATTTCGTAGGCTAATCGACATACCTGAAACACATTTTGGAGAAGGATTATATAATTACTACAAAGTGCAAAAGAATCTTTGGCTGAAAGGAAGTAAACTAATAAGAGGATCAGAGAGGCGATACCGCCTCCGAATATTGTACCACCAGCTGGAGCAAGCGCATTCGTATAGACCCCCACATACACAAAATAAGGGGTGCAGCCACCAGTCTTGTGCTTGACAAGCTGTAAAAATGCAATCAACAAGAATTTTCAAAATATGCAAAAAATATATATAACTAAAAATGGTGCAATCAAAGTTAAGTTCATTGTAAGGTAGGTCAAAGGTCAATTTCAAGGTCACAGTAAATTGCCAGTATATGACTTCCTATCCAACTTCAATAGTAACTATGGACCTATCTCTGCCAGTTTTGGAGATAAAAGGGAAGCAAAATTTGCAAAGTTCAGTTCATGGTGAAAAGTANAATAACACAAAAACTTTAAAACTCTAAATTCTGGAAAAGCTAAAATTTGGGATGAACTAGCAAGGTGACTTACCTGAGATGAAAAAGTACAAACAAGAAAATCCGTCATGGATAAGAAATGTATATCTATGATGATTCCACGTAAAGACATGTCAGAGTACCTGCTGCCCAGACCAGCTGATTTGGCAATGTCTTGATCCCCAACAAATTCATAATTAGGGAACCTGAAGAATCAAGCGAACAGTGACCTAATTTAAGAGCAATATATATTATATATTGGCACTATATAGAACATTTACACAATCTAAATACAGTTTCTTCAAGAAATTACAAAGAATTATACCTATTTTGTTGAGGAATCTGTTCTTAACTTGCAATGAATTTGGTATTCAATTTAATTTTTTTGATTCTATTAAAATTTATGTTCTTTAATAACATTAAACTTTCATACACCACAGAGCCTCTTACTTGGATCTTGCCTCAGGAAGAACTCCAGGATCATCTGAAGCCAAATAGACTCGTTTTTTCTCTATCTTTTGTCTCCTTGACAACAGTTCATAATATTCATCTACGTGAAACATGTACTCTTCAATAGAGTGGAAGGCTGCCTCAGTGCCAACTTTATCAGTCCGCCGGACATGTATTCTGGTAGAATAAGACAAGAAAACTCAGACTTAGAGAGATTCAAGTTGAATTATCAAACATTTCAATACTTATAACAACCAACTGCCAATTACTGTATATACTTTAACTGTTAATATAGTTACAGGTTTGATTTTTCCTAAAACCTTAACATCAGACCCATCAAAGCAATCAAGACTTCGTGTATTATTACAACACCAGCAACTTACCCTACAATTGGGTTTTTAAAACCAAATTTCGCTTGGACATTGTCCAAGTCTTGTTTTAATTCTGGTTGGTAGCGTAAGAGATATTTCACAACCTGTCCCATCCACCACACAAAAGGGTGTCCATGGAAACGTGTGAGGCGAGGCGCCAGATCTTCTGGTATGGACTGAGGAAGTTGATCAGGGCGAGGACGGATACTGTCAACAATTGGTAAACTGACAGCCTGGACATCTTTTATCTCGTTCTCAGCTGAAATACATTGAGATTTTATCATGTGGCTGTGCTAAATAACTATATCAAATTTTGTTTGAAGAAAATATAGTTTCATTATCTGAATGATTCCAGGTACTAATTAACAACTGATAATGAAAAGACTGTTAAACTGCCAAGTTAGTCTGGCACATCATACTATAATTAATATTTGACATGAAAAGTATGTTATTTGATTACCTGCAGGTGCTTGAATGGTGGAGTGTGGAATTTGTAATGCAATTAACAAGACGTGCAAACAAGTACAGTTCTAATATATACAATGTGTTCACATGTGTACATTATTGTAACTAGAGGATCAGAGAGGCGATACCGCCTCTGGATATTGTACCACCAGCTGGAGTAAGCTCATTCGTATGGAACACCAAAAAAAAACAAGGCAGCAAAGCTGTCAAATGTACAGACAAAAACACAAAATAAAAATGCAGAAAATGGTTCATTTTGTCAATTTTGATGCCTACAATAGCACTGTCAATCAACGCTGAAATTTAATCATGCACAACAGGTGACATCGTCAATAACAGGAGCTGATCCAGAGATATTTTCTGACAGTATTCCAGATTATCTTTGTTGATCCATCCTACATTTTTGATGGTCTTCCAACAGAAAAAAGAGATTCCCATCAATGTGATCTTTAAAATCTGAAAGACCCAGAAGATGGCCTCAATCCACCCCTGCAATAAGATTACAGTTTCAGGACCAAATTCACATAATGAAAATCCCAATATCTAAATAATGATGACAGTGCATAAGATAATATTACATAATGTTTAAAGACATAAAAACCAATGCAACTGCTTATGTGGAAATACAGAAAATGTGAAGAGCTTCAGGTGGATGGGAGCTGAAAATGCCAGTGTTTGAAAAAAAAAANTCACATAATGAAAATCCCAATATTTGAATAATGATGACAATGCATAAAATAATATTACATAATGTTTAAAGACATAAATGCAACTGTTTATGTGGAAATACAGAGAATGTGAAGAGCTTCAGGTGGATGGGAGCTGAAAATGCCAGTGTTTGAAAAATAAATTAAAAAGAAAACACAAAAAAATTTCCCATTAAAGCTGCTATTCAAACTTTTAATCTTGCTGTAATAACATGATATGAATAACCCCAATGTGTTTGAGGATAATAAGGCACTGTTATTCAAATATTTTTTTTCTTTTGTTAACTTATTTGCAACATTAAACAACATTTACCTGCATAATTATCACAGATTCCTAATTATGTGACACAGTTAAGAGAGCTTAACCTATGGGACTTTACTTTACTCAACGTGTTTTATGTAATCTTATTTAATGGGCACTTGGAAATTAATTAGGCAAATGATTAGGCAATAAAACAATTTTAAATGTCCAGTTTGCTCCATTCTGAGATTCTGAACATGGTGAATGATTGAATCTGACAAACTGTAAAGATATGAGTTTATCATTATTTCCATTTTTTGACATTTTATTACACAATTACAGGTTTACCATCTTTTTTATATAATCAACTAACAATATTGTTAAGATGCAGAAAATGTCAAAAGAACACCTTTACATATCTAATTAGTTCACATATGAGATTGTTAACATGCCTAAGAATTAAATCAAAGGAAAAAACACTTATATACAAAAAAGGCATAACTTCACCAGAACTGAACCAATGGAGCTTATTTTCGAACTCAATCTGTATTTCAGTAAGACTGATCACCCCTGTAAATTTCAAGACAATTGGCCAATTGATTTTCCTTGAAATGCGTTATCGGTATTGAATACATGCTAAAAAAAGTGAAAAAACAGCATAACTTTCATAAAATGGGTCCAATCACGCTGATTTTCAAACTTGACCTGTGTATTATGAATAGTCATCAGTTCTGTAAGTTTCAAGCCGAAAGGTAAAACGGTTTTTCACTTATCGTGTTATCAGTGTTGCATATATGCTTAAAAAAATGAAAAAATAGCATAACTTCCATAAAATTGGCCCGATCATGCTGATTTTCAAACTTGACCTGCGTATTATGTATATTCATTAGTTCCATAAGTTTCAAGCCAAAAGGTAAAACGGTTTTTCACTTATCGTGTTATCGGTGTTGCATATATGCTGAAAAAAGTGAAACAAGAGAAAAAACAGTTTTCCACTTATCGTGTTATTGGTAAAAGTGCACGGCGACGGCGACGACGGCGACGGCGACAGCGACGGCGACGACAGACGCAGATGACGGCTATATGTACAGACACATCTGTGTCTGTACATAAAAAACAGCATAACTTCCATATAGATGGCCATATCATGCTGATTTTCGAACTTGACCTGCATATTATGAAAGCTCATCAGTTCTGTAAGTTTCAAGCCAAAAGGTAAAACGGTTTTTCACTTATCTTGTTATCAGTGGTCAAAGTGCACGGCGACGACGACAGACGCAGGTGATGGCTATATGTACAGACACATCTGTGTCTGTACATAAAAATCATAGAATTCCGAGGGAAATGCTCAGTTCAAATTTTCGAGAACAAAATTTGAGTGTAATTTTCATGTCTAACTGAACCAACATGCAAATTGTTTTGGGATTGGACATTCCTTAATGCTGAGAAATATATTACCATCTATATCACCTTGTATCACTAGGATCCATTTCCTTATCCTTTTCTCTTTATATTTGTATAAGAGCAACCTTGCTTTAAAATAAATAAAATTACCGTTTGCAAATGCACAAAGTCTTAATTCAGTTCCATTTACGTACAACAAAATCAAAGAAAAGGTCAACCCCTACACATTTAATACACCAATCTTTATTTCAATTCAGTTCATATGCTACATCTCTGTACAAGTTTTATTGGCTTCATTCAAGACAAAGATGAACACCAGGTTAACAACAAGTAAGGTGATCCGCAACTGGAATTAATGCTACTATATATATATGTTCAATATTGAAGAAGAAGAAAGCAGCATATAGTACTTGTCAAATTACTGTGAATATTCTTTTGAGCTGACCACATGAACCTACAAAGTAAAGGATGAGAAAATGATGCAATGGTGATTAAAATTACTAATAACAACGGAGTGAAATTTGATATGCTTTCGCCAGACTAATTTACACTTATATTAATTTTTTTCTTGTGATTGACAGAGCAATATTGTTTTAAGACAGGCATACCAAATTAACATGCCACCCTTCCCTTAAATTATGCAAAAATCATTTTTAATGGAATGTCTTGTACATTACCTCAAAATGAAAAAGGGGAGAATTGATTTTGAAAAAGTTACTACATCAATTTTAAACAAAATGATTTGACCTGACAGGAACACTAGTACCTGCAGAGAAAGCAGCTGGACATACTTGTAACCAAAAAGAAAGTTGGAATATTCCATCAATGTAATCCATACAGCAAAAAAAAAAAAAAAAAAAAAGGTAACNCTTTATGTACAGACACATCTGTGTCTGTAAATAAAAATCATAGAATTCCGAGGGAAATGCTCAGTTCAAATTTTCGAGAACAAAATTTGAGTGTAATTTTCATGTCTAACTGAACCAACATGCAAATTGTTTTGGGATTGGACATTCCTTAATGCTGAGAAATATATTACCATCTATATCACCTTGTATCACTAGGATCCATTTCCTTATCCTTCTCTTTATATTTGTATAAGAGCAACCTTGCTTTAAAATAAATAAAATTACCGTTTGCAAATGCACAAAGTCTTAATTCAGTTCCATTTACGTACAACAATATCAAAGAAAAGGTCAACCCCTACACATTTAATACACCAATCTTTATTTCAATTCAGTTCATATGCTACATCTCTGTACAAGTTTTATTGGCTTCATTCAAGACAAAGATGAACACCAGGTTAACAACAAGTAAGGTGATCCGCAACTGGAATTAATGCTACTATATATATATGTTCAATATTGATGAAGAAGAAAGCAGCATATAGTACTTGTCAAATTACTGTGAATATTCTTTTGAGCTGACCACATGAACCTACAAAGTAAAGGATGAGAAAATGATGCAATGGTGATTAAAATTACTAATAACAACGGAGTGAAATTTGATATGCTTTCGCCAGACTAATTTACACTTATATTAATTTTTTTCTTGTGATTGACAGAGCAATTGTTTTAAGACAGGCATACCAAATTAACATGCCACCCTTCCCTTAAATTATGCAAAAATCATTTTTAATGGAATGTCTTGTACATTACCTCAAAATGAAAAAGGGGAGAATTGATTTTGAAAAAGTTACTACATCAATTTTAAACAAAATGATTTGACCTGATAGGAACACTAGTACCTGCAGAGAAAGCAGCTGGACATACTTGTAACCAAAAAGAAAGTTGGAATATTCCATCAATGTAATCCATACAGCAAAAAAAAAAAAAAAAAAAAAGGTAACAAATTGCAAAAAGAAATATTTTATATTGCACACTAGCAGTCACTCATGCAGATGAAGATAATGACTCTTTATCTGTACAGGAATACATGTATGACATCAAAGTTATTTTCTTCAAGTCCATTCACAGTATACATTTGTTTAAAGAGTAAGGTAAACCATCAAAAAAAAAAAAAAATGATACTTTCAATCATAAATAAATTATACACTTCCACCTTTTGCAAAATTCATGATGCCCAAAATGCACATTATGAGAAAAAGATGCGTAGTTTACCTTAAATCCAAAAAGGAAGTAATAGTATGCAACAAACAATACAAAGAAGGGGGATTACAACACCTGTTACCAAGGAAAAGCAAAAGTCACAACTGACAGAGCTTTAAGTGGTATTACAAACAATGTCCTTTTGAACCGTACTGCAAGATTATATGGCCAGTAGGTTTTTTTCCAACTAAAGATTGCATGAATAATGGCATTTGTAAATGACTGCTGCATATAAAAGCCACAAAGGCAATACACATTTGGTTACAGGTACAATATACAGCACGTTGTACCATTTCAAATGGTAGAAGTATATATTAATATGTTTAAATGATCACAACTAATGAATACATTCATTCTAGAAATCATTTCCTTAAATAATGTTCAACTAAATAAATCTCAAATGAACCATTATTTACAATAACAATAAAACTTGCACTTTCCCCTTTGGCAATAGAAAGAATATTACTTAGCATGAAATATATCATTAATAATTCGTAAGTTTGCACTGTTGGGTATGTATGTAGTCTTTGCAATTTTCTATAGAAATTTAATACTACATGCAGAAAGAAACTTAAACATTATACAACATTATTTCATGCCTTAACAGAGTAATGTTCAGTTTCACTAGTAATAGTTAAAATTGCTTCATATTAGATGTTCATTCTATATAAAGTATAGAAACAGCATAAAAGGAAGTGGTAGATTTACAATATCAGAAATGTATGACATCTTCCTCTTGACTAGAACCAATCATAACTTGTTAATATCTGCAATAACACACACAAACCCAAATTCAACTGCTGACATAAACTGCACTGGAACACTATTGTTTGATGGAAACAGAAGATCTCTCCCATCACATCTGCTCAGTGTTTTCTTCAATCACAAATCGTGTACCAAACTTTGAGCAATGCTCCTGAAGTCTCAGTCTTCAGCTAAGATCTTTGCTCCAGCTAATCTCTACTCTCCTGCGGCATGTCTTAGACAATTCTACGGCTGCAAAATGAATTCCTAGAACTGGTACCATTTTTTGTCTTTGTAATGCTGAGACAAGGCATGTGCTGAATCACGATAACTCTTAGCCTTGTCCATCATGGCTGCCGTACGCATTTCTAATTCTCCCAATTTTTCGCCCCTCTCCATGGCAAGCTGGAATAAAGAGCATTATAATAAGTGTCTATAGCTTAACAAGATGAAACAAATTCCCTTCATCCTGAGAAACTGACACAAAGTCTATACCAATGTGAAAGAGAGAATGTAACAGAGGAGGACCAGAGGAATGATTAAATGGATGAAAGTTCTTAATGTGAAAGATGATAAACCTTAGTGACATGAATCTACTGTGAAGAACCATTATATATTACCATTTTTGCTCTCCCAATCTCTGAAGTTGCTGAAGCAGCTGATGCCTGTGCTGAGGCCATGCCACCAGGTATATGCTTCGCAAGACCTTTAGCTGCCTTTCCACTCGTTTCTCCAACTGAAATGGAAAATATAGGATCAGTGTACTGTCCCTTTTTCAGGTTTTAACTTTTTAACAAGTGCATGTAATGAAAATGATTCACTTAATTTTTACCATTGTTCAGAACGAAAAAAAAAATCCTGCAGTTCATCAGTATAATCTACTTTTATTCTGATATAAAGAAATTTCCCCATTACACACAGTCAAATCAAGATGGCATCCTTCTAAGTTTACAACCTAGCTAGTTACTTACATAGCTGCTCCCTGTCCAATGTCTGTGTTCCACCACTAAACAGGTTCTTGAAAAATCCTTGCTTTGGCTGTTCAGGGGTCTCACAGGGAAGAAACAAATCACCCAACATTTCATTTAGACTTTCCCTGCAGAGATAATCAAATGTTATGGAGTAAACATAAATCAAACACATTCCTGTTAACTAGCAATATGCATTAAAACACAACCTTCTGGTGTGATATGTTAAAATGTACACACAACACCTTACACATGCATATATTACCAACATGTCTGTAAACTATGGGAGGCATAATCTTTAGTAATTGACATATCTTACGTGATTTCAGCAGAGAAAGCCACTTTCTGTACTTCATTGGGTGAACACATGTAGAGGGCATGACCATTGTTACTGATGCAGAAAGACCTGGCCATTCTATAATAGACAATTAACACATAGAACTAAATCAACTCTTCAACTATTATTGGATATAAAAGGGTATAAGAGCTATTATTGTATTCAACGGTATAAGAGCACTTGTGCTCATTATATCGCTCAATAAATCAAATGATTCACACCCTGAATATGGTTATACACCATCTTCTCATCTGATAGATTTGTTGTGAATCTTTTTCACCAATAAACAAAAAATTTAAGTTGCTACATTTTCCTTCTCAAATGTACTTTTACATTATACACTGGTTCTTTGACTATGCTATACATTAATATAGATCTTCACAAAAACTGATGTCTTAATTAAATATGATCTTAATGGAGAACTAAGAAAATTGTATTATTCCTATAATATATAAACTCCACCCAAAGAAGCAGTAACAATAAAACAGTATGCAGTAACCACCATGTTCACTAAATTATACAGAATGTCTTAAAACAGAGAGCATTTAACTAGAATCTAACAAAAGAAAAATAACATTTAGTATGCAGATTTGATTTTCATACAAACATTTAACATATATAAAACCTAAAATGATGGCAAAAGAGGTGCAAATATACCAAAATATGTCAACAAATAATTTTCAAAAACAACTAGAGGAGTATCTTACGTACAGGGTCAGCCCTTCCTCATAGGCAGCCATGTCAGAGTATGGTTGACTGTTGAAATAAATAAAAAATAAACAACAGGTAACAATCAGGGTGGCTAAAAAGGGTAACTAAAAACCAAATGAAATAAACAGGTGTGAACATCTGAAGCATACACGTAGTAACATCCAGTTAGATCTTGAGTTCCTATCAATTAGTTGGTTGAATTGGCATTATTAAGGAGATTACTAAGGTGTACAATATACTTTGAAATTATTATACTAACATACAACTGAGTGAAAAACTACAATTCATGTGCTGAGAGACTCATGTGCTCTTATCTACATGGCAAGTCAGAAAGATGGCACTAACAATAACACATTTCTCAGCAAAAGAATAAGAAATCCAACCTAAGTCCATACTGAAATCTGTACATGTGTGTGCTATTCATGAAACCACACGTTGAAATTTTCTATATGATTTCATTCGTCTATTGTATTATTCTAATAAGCGTGTATTGCAATGCATTTAACAAAAAGGCAAATAACGAAAAAAAAAAAAAAATGTAAACCTAAAATGAAACAAAAATAACATGTAATGTACCTAAGTAAGACTAACATCAAAATAAGTGATTTTTGGATGGAGCGGGATTCTATTCTGACTAGAAATATTTTAACAATTACAGAATCCCAGATGATGATTCTTGTGACATTTATATAAAACTTCCATACTTCACAACTTCACCTGAGATCAGTCAGTGATAAGAAATCCATATCCATCAAAACTCTGAGGCTCGGCAAACTGAAGACCATTAGACGGCCACTGGCAATGAAACATACCAAGCATACGCTATCTGGAATGCACAAACAATATAACACTAATATAACAAGATTTAACAAACATCTCGATCTTACAATCTTTAAGTTTTTCTTTAACAGTTATATACATGTGGTATAGGCTGTTACATTTCAACTGTATATGTATGCTGATCTGTGCAACTAATTGGAGTCATTCTTCATTTGTAACTATACTGTTCATAAGTGAACTTCTCCTAGTCTGTATATTGATATAAAATACAAGTACACTAATCAATTCATGCTGACAACTATGCACACAACTCAGACAAATCTTGAACTACACTGTAATCTTAAAGAAATGTCAATTTAGAAACAGTAATAAATTAAAGCAGTTTTTTTGTCAAACAGCACTTCCCATTACTATAAAAAACCCATAAATCATTATAAACCCTTCACCCCTCACAGCAAAAGATAGCTGGTCATTTTTTAGTATTAATAACTCATTAAAATATTTTTTAAAAACATTTCAAAAAGTATTTGAAAAAAGGATTTTCATTACATGTCAACTCAAACATGCACATAAAAAATAACCAAAATGGAACAGAATAACGAAAGCAATAATATATTAAACCGTATCCAGTCTTTAAACCAAAGAAGGTGAAGGTTGAGATTGAAGGTGATCTTCACTGTATACAATTTTATTTTTACCTTTTTTTTTACTTAAAACATGCAACTTCGAAGACCAATGATGTGAAACATTCCCAAAAGTCAGCAAACAAGTTTCTCACTACATGACCTCACACTACCAACATGTTCTAAACAAATTCAAGAAAGCACACAAAAACATGCAAATGGATGAAAAAATGATACCTTCATCAAGTGACCAGCCTTAAGAATGAAAAACAACATTTACAACAGTTTTCAGCCATTGGCAACTATTCTCTGTGCAGGTACTAAGCTAAAAATCATAATGATGCTTCATGCAGAGATGAATATGTTTACTTTTAGTGGATTAAAATTTGTACCATTGCTTTCATTTTGTTGTTGTATGCCATGCAAAATGTAATACTTTAATTACTATCATTTTTATTTCTACTCTTGAACTGTTTTGCTTCACTGTAATTGCTGTGGTAACATTAAATCTTTTCATTACAGATGGTAAAATTCACATCACAGATAAGGTGCAACAGGGTTAGCAGGTTGGTTTCATGGTTGGAGTGTTCTTGAAGGCTACTGCAACATTTCACTGTGGGCGCTCACCACAACAGACTGTGTACATGCAGTGACACAACCTAAGTTATGCTAACAATGTTGTCAGCATTAACTACATAAAACCACATCACCATGTTAATGGATACTGGGTATTAGCATACATAATTTTCATTTTATACTACCACATGGTGAAACAAATACACTTTATACAATGGACATTGTTACCAATTCACCCTCCAAACAGCACATTTATCTATTTGTTTACCTTTCATGGCTACCACCTCAGCTTTGGCCACATATGAGGTCTCTGTGACTTTGACTTTATATGCACATGTCTGAGAGGGTAGAGACATCACCTTAAAATAACAATGAAACATTACAATTATACAGCTGTAGGCAATGTCAACATATATTATGTCCTCATCTAACTGCATTAGGCTGACAAGATCAAATTTTAAGTATTTACGTAATGCAGAGGGTGAGCTCATACAGTATCACCAAAGTCAGAGCACAGAAGCGTCTCACGGAGCTCTTGAATATGTTTAAAAACCTTGGGTCTGCTTTTTAAGGTCACCAAATTGTTGTCTTTATAAAAACGGTTTGTATTTTATGTTCATTGCTTTGTATTAATTTCTTTCAGCACATGCATCCTACCCTGGCCTGTTTTTCTGAGCAGATAATAGCAAACTGTCTATCACACATCTCAGTTGAGGCAGTTGGAGACATCCTGGGCTTATTTCCACTCAATGATATTTGCCCTACAATGACAGATACAAATTAATTGTAAGATTCGAAAAGACAAAATCATACTTAAGAACAGATCACACAAAGACATTTGCTCAAGAATCATTTCTCAACCTGTCCCCACACTTGGATTCAACATTTGATTTCATTTACTGATTTACAGGGGCAAATACAGAGATATTTTCTTACAGTCTTCCAAACTATCTTTGTTGATCCATCCTCCATTTTTGACCGTCTTCTGATAGAAAAGTTAGATACCCGTCAATGTAAACTTTAAAATCTGGTTGTCTTATGGAGGACCCAGAAGACAACCTCAATCCACCCCTGATTTAGTTCTAAATGGCTGGCAAGTGAAATAAAATGCCATGTCTTCCTGTGCACTTCAGAGGGAACTATCCAAGTCGGAGACTCATATTTCAGGGGGTTTTATAGGAAAGTAAAGTAGCATTGCAGGATATGTAGACATGGAAAATATGACTTCAGGAAATTTCAGAATCATGCAGTATATCTTTTATTGTGGTCTTGAAGCATTTACTGCAGACATGTGAACTTACTGTCTGTCTGAGGCCTACTCCTGGCTTTCTCATCTCTGCCAGCATCCCTCCACTGCTCTGACACCGCTGGGATGAGAATACCATTGCAATCCAGGAAAGACATGGCCAGAATTGCACCTTTTAAACGAAATATTGTACCTAGAAGAGGAAAAAATCTTTCCTTTGAAATCTGGTCTTCAACAAGTTAGAATACTTTGAGAACTGACAATAAGATTATGCGTATCTTACAGTGTATCACTTGTTTACTTTTATCTTTTAAAAAAAATGTCAGATTTTTTTTTTTTTTACATTAGATGTGAGATAAATATGAGAGTACAAAAGACAAGTGAAAAAACCAATATCCAATTTTTTTAAATAAGGTATTCCTTTACCTTAAACAGAATACTTGATGAAACAATGACACATACATGCACATGAATGCATATGTTTACACAGGTGCACGCGCACACACACGCACACACACACGCACACACACACACACACTCACCACTGGGTGATACAATAACAGGTTGGTTAAGCCTCTGTTCTCCTGGTGGTGGAAGGTTGAGGACAATTACTATCACAGATCCCAGGCTAGTGCCTACCCACAAACATGGACATGTGAAAGCATCTGGAAGATCAACAGGTATTTTGGGGCATTATTTAACCTCAAACTGTTGAGATATTGTAGTTTTACAATTTTACCACTATAAAACAAAGTACTGTATTTTTTGTCTCCCTGTTCTTGTATTTGGTTACAGTATATGACACATAGAAAAACCTATGTAAAAACTATATTATTTCATGTTGGGTAATGGTCACTTCCTATTTATCTCCGCCAAGGAGGTTATGTTTTCACCCCTGTTTATCTGTCTGTTTGTTTGTCTTCAACATAACTCAAAAAGTTATGGACCGATTTTGATGAAATTTTCAGGAATTGTCAGAAGTGGGCCAAGGAAGAGATGATGTAGTTTTTGGTGGTGATCCGGATCAATAATCAATCAATAATCAATAATAATAAAAAATTGCTGCCTTGGCGGAGGTCTGCGCTTTTCTAGTTTTACCTGTTTTTCTTGTGTAGGAATCAGCAAACACAAGGCAGCGGACGCCTTCCTGACTGACGTTTTCCAGACTAGACATGCTAGAACTACGCGATCGTGAAAATGAAGAGGACTGTCCTTGATCTGTAACATGACCAGCAGATTAATTTTCAAAACAAATATTAAAGAGTATGATTGTGAATAATGCTTTAATTCTGATAGTATTCTTCACTAGTGAAAAGTTCACAAAAAAACTGATTGAAGACATGCTACTACCATTAGGGGACTTACAAATCATGCTTTTAGTGTGTTCTAGAAAAATAAACAAAAATTGTCTATACTTTTACCGAGATACTTTACTTTAACCATGCCTTTAGTAAATCCAATAATAAAACTTAGGAGGAAAATATATGCTAAAATAGGTTCATACATCCAAAGCACACCAATCCCCAAATAAAAATTCATAAGAAAAATGTGCCAGCGTGTTAAGAGAACTAAAAGAATAAAAAAATATTCAATATTTTAAAATATTTTCAAATCTAACAGCCAAATTGTAAAATATAAAAATAAAATAGAGATAATCCACTAAACAATTAACATGAACACAGAAAAAAAAAAGAATTCTACTTATGTAAATGATCAAATTTTGTCAACATGCAAAGTGCTTTTGCAAATTATTGGAAAAAAAACTAAAAAAATTGAAATACATACATTACTGTATTGTGAAAAGTAATCCATATAAATGGAATGGGATTTATTGCAATTTTGAAGTTGCTTTGCATTTTTCTGGAGCTCTGTTATTTTTATTGAGAAGGCAAATTTGTAGAATGTATGTTTTCTTTGAAAAAGCTAACCCTCCAAACACCAATATGCAGTAATGGAACAGTCCAGACAAAGTAGTGATGACTAGAAATGTAGAATTTAGTTTATGGACTGGTTGAATCTAATTGGAACACACATACTATAATGCTTCAAAAGCAAATAACACTAAAACCTAAATATATATATTCACTTTTAAATTTGTCACTTGTACACATTAAAATAAAAATGTTAATTTCTTAATAAATTTTAACTTCAACATATGAATAGAGTTGAATAATTTGGATATTTAAGGATGTTCCAAAATGGACTGAAAACTATCAATTTCTACACTCCATTTCATTTATCATAACTCTTCCACTTGTTTGCATATTGGCAAATGAACAAAGAAACAACAATAAGTAACAAAATGTGCAAATTACAGTGAACTTGTCTCACACAATAAAGGAAAAAAACCTGAAAACCAAAACATCTGATGAGACAAACCAAATACAAAAGAAATCCCGCCCAAAAAAGGACAACATAAACATAGCCAATGCAACATCTAACACAACAATCATGGATCCACAAAATTCAGGTCGTTCTTGGTGCTGGACTGGACCGTAGTAAGCACATTGTTTCACAAGAGGGTGCAGCACAAAACCCAGGAAGAGCTCATACCAGTTTCAGTGCTCTTGGGAACTTTCAGGGGATATCAAACATGCACCTTTCTATGGCATGCATAACCCTTAATGATTTTGGAAGGGATAACGATACTGTGTCTGATAATTTGTTAGAGTACATCCTATCTCTGGTGGTGGTACGGTGGTGTGCTGTTAAAGGTTAGTGTTCAAACAAGTTGCAGAATTAATGTAAAAATAAGTGCAGTGAAGCAATGTTATTGTGATATAGGGAGTTGAACAGTGGAAGTGATTGGAATTATCTGGGTTTTTAATACCTTTTTCTTTATCAAAAATGTAGTAAAAATTGATCATAAAACCAATGTATCCAATCTACCCAAAGTAAAAGATAAGTAAAAGATTTAACCTTGTTCATGTCTAAAAGTACAGATATTTTAAAAAGGCCAACAGCAATGAGCTTTAGCATTTTTTTTAAATTTCAATAAAAATATCAACATCCACTGTTCAAGAGCATAGTGGCTTGCCTTGAAATGGCAATCAGATTTGAAGTTAGTAAAACATAATTTCAGAGCAGTACACTAAGTCAAATAAGAAATGCTTAGACTTATTTTAATATAAATATGGCACTAAACAAAGAAAATGATTTAAATGTAAATTTTGAACTTTTTGAAAGAAAAAGAAAAGAAAATTGAATCTGTCACATAACACATCACACAGGGCATTTCTTTTGGTAGTCATTGGAGAAAAACTAATTCTAGGTGATCAGACAAGATTATAAGGCTTCTTTGGTATACTGGAACTAGAATGAGTTGTGATTTCAAGTCTTTCCATGTAGACAGCAAAAGAAATGCCATGCATACAAATGTTGCCTCGGACTGGCAGCTGCACAGTTACAGAAGAGTATATCACTGACCCATGTGCCATGAGGAGCACCATGCAGTGTCACACCATCCATGTATCTGTTACACAAGTTCTTGCCATATACAACTATCTTAACTAAGACAAAAGAATTAATATACCTAAAATATACTGCAAAAAGCTTGAAAGACAAATAAAAGCAGCAATGTTGTAGTGTGTCACAAAGTCATGAAAAGAGATATTTTGCTAAAGTGCCACAAAAGCACAAACATCCTTGTGTTCCCCCCCTTTTCTGTTGGTGTTAAATACAATGCCATAAGTGTTATTAAAGGTAGAAAAGCAACAATGCACCTCCGCCACCACCATTTGCATCCATGTCCAACGATGCTGTACTTTGCATTTTCTGAATTTTGCGGATACCTTGGGACTTAGTCCGTCTCAACTCAGGAGGATGTTGTCTCTTTTGTTTAGTACCTGTAGGACTGAGACACACCCCATTGATCTAAAAAGCAAGCAAAGATGATTAATCATGTGAGGTCTGTGTTAAAACTTTCAGCAGTGAAGGAATATTAGTTGTGTATATGCTGCCAGGTGCAATAAGGGCATGCTAAAATGCTGGCAATATACACATGTGCAAAAATCTGGTCATGCTCAATTTTCAAGTACACGGCATGCGGAGTGCTGAAAAAAGAAATTATCAGACATAAAACTGGATGCTGTGAACAAAACCCTTGCCCAGCATGTCATGCAGCCAGTGGAAATAGCCCTATTTCTAAGAGCTGCAAAGCTGCAAGCATCCATATCAAGGTTTTTTGCTACATACCGCCAGTTCCATTGCGAACAACTATGCTTTTCTTTGAGACCCCTGGTTCCTCACTGCGTAGATCAAGCACTGCAACCCCCTTTGAGTCTCTTTTTATCAGACCCCGGCGTTTTTGTTCCCCATCCGCCGTTGGTACTGACAGGTAATTATCTGATGGGCTCTTGCACTTGGGACGAGTTGTCTTTACAGAATGAAATTTTTTCTTAACCTTGATACTAAACCGGCGAAACTGACTCATCCCACTTTTATCATCAGTTTCATCACAATTCAGATCATATTTGACTGTTTCTTGGGACCTTGAGTTACTTCCTGCCATTTTTAAGACTATTAACAACATGGTCATCTTCATCATCATCATCCAGTGCTGGTACTAGAGGCTTATTGGAGACAGGCATCGATATGGCACGACGAACCATCGTAGGTCTTTCCTCAGCAGCAGGATGAGGAATGAGAAATTTACTTTGCAATTCTCCAGTCTCAATGCTCTCCAGCTCACGTATCATCTCCCGTTTTTCCATTTCAAAGGCTTCAAGAGCTGTCTCAATCTCCATAGAGCCATCAGACTCGGTGCCGGAAACATCATCCTGGTGGTTTAGGTCCAGGTTCTCAGTGGCGGACACTGTAAGTAATGTCTGAGTTCTTTCGTTCCTGGGGGTCCCAGGCGAGCGTGGAGACCTGGGGCTACAAAGATTACTAGATGCTAGGCCAGGGGAGGGTGGAGGCTGCAAAAACAATCAGCAGTTAACCAAAACAAAGGAAAATTTGAACTTAAACACAAGCACCAGACAGAAAAAAAAATGCAAAAATAAATCAGTAAGACACCCTCACTGAGGTCCAAACTCATTATGTTATCATACCTCAGCATTGCCACTTCTATTATACAAGAAGTAATGTAGCAGAAAAATAAGGATAATGAAGGGATTCAACTAAAATCAGAAATCAAGTATTACTTTTTTAGATGAAGGAGGTCATATAGTAGGTTGTTGTGGATAAGAATAGCTAGATCATTATGTTGTACACATGTAGGAAGCTAAGCCAGGGTGCCATATACAATGCAAGGCAGAACCTGACAATGGACTGATAGATTGGCATGTGAAGAAGGGTTGGAAGCATGCTCAGACACAATATCTGCTCAGGTTTGGTGATACATTCAGCATACAGGGAGTCTATTGAATCTAAAGAATGCTGCCCATATTTCTACCCAGCATACATAATACACAAATAAACATCAAGTAGCATCAGTTGTTCTTAAGTGTGATATATTATAATCCAAACACTACTTTTTCACCACAACATCAACGCTTTGGACAATTTGCGTCGTGGATTCCAGAAAGATCTTAACATTGAAAATATTTAAAAATAGACAAGAGGTTCCCTATCAATAAATGCAAGTATCTGCTATACACAGGATGCTCACAGTCTAACATTAAGTGAGTGTATAGTACACTTTCACTTCTCACCAAATTGATGCTCACAAGAGTCACAAGGCGATCTTTAAGCTAATGAAAAAGAAATGAATTATTCATGTATACTAGTCTGAGTAATAAGTGTCAAATGTAAGCTAAAACTTTTTCGAAAACTATGCACTTTCACTGGTGAGATAAGTAATCAAACACAAAATTAATTTCTATGAAAAGGCATAATATTTGATGAACACCAAGTTTACTTTGAACTGTGATTTGACTCACATAAACAATACTAATGAAATTATGATATAGCATCATTTACAATATTACATATATAACAATGTAAGTGAGATTAATAACCAAGAGTATCTGAGCAGCCAAATGATGAAATTAACTCAGCTTTCAATGAAATTTAGTGAACTATATATATATATATATATATATATATATATATATATATATATATATA